AAAAAAAAAAAAAAAAAAATGATATGGAAAAACAAAGGAAAGATTGTTGGTTGGTGGCCTTCATGCAAATCAAGAGGAACAAAGGAAAAAAGAAAAACACATATTAACTGCTCGGCAAGGCATAACATAATCCATATGTTCATATATTATACTAAATTAACTGATACGCCATGTACAATTGTAGTCTATGGTAATAGAGATAAAAAGTGGTACACGTGGTTTGGAACAATTTAAGGAGTACTCACAGAATCTCGTGCTGCATGGTTATTTCGTACTGCAGCATTCCCAACTTCATGGTGCCACTGCCTCACTTCACTAAGAAGTTTGTCGTACCGTTCCACAAGATCCGCATTATGGAGCCGTTTCTTTGGTGTAGCCAAAGCACCAGCAGCAGTACTAGTACTAGTACGGCCATCATCACCACTTGGAGTGAATGTTACATGATTACGCTTCTGTCGTGCTGTATCACCATTCTCTTTCTTTGGACTACAAAAAGCACGTGATGGGGGTGATAGTCTTGGTTTTCGCTCTCGCTCATGACTAGAACCGCGATTCGCAAGGGATAGCGCATTACCATTTTTACGATGGCCCCCATGTAGCGCCTCACTTGCCGTGTGTGATCGAGCAAAGGGTGTGGGTGCAGCAGACATCTTGACCCCACTCTTCACTCCTGTTCTCGTTGCTGCTGTGGCTGACCCTGCAGCTGTGCTGCTCGTATGGCGCGATGGTAGTCCATTAGGACTTGCTCCTTTCTTCGCTGCGGCGAAAGATACACTTTTCTTTCCATCGGTGGGGCGAAGAAAAGCGTTCGTCGAATCTGGCGACCTCCGTAGCGGCGCCGTCCCGTTGGCTGCCAGTCGCCGTAGTCCAGTCGTACTGTACGACGAGACGAACGGCTCAGGACCCGTACGTGTCTTTTTGGGGGCCACCGGGAGATTATTACTCCTCACATCCGTAGTGCGAGAGACTTTATCTTTACGTAACGTACCCACAACACCGTTTCGTTTTATTTTTCGTAAAGGAAGGGGACGAGCGGTGGTGTCTTTTCCAGGTGTACGATCCTGCACCATACGTTCTAGACGTGCTTCCATGCTCACGACAGGTGATGCTGAACGGAATGAATCCAAGAATAACGTGGATGGTGCAGAACCAGTATTCATAGAACGCTCAAAAACTGCTATCATATCTGTTGTAGATAAAGAAGGTAAATTGGCAAATATCAATGCCAATTGAGCCTCCTCTAATAAAGCTGGATTACTACAAGCTAAGGGAAGCATATGTCGTATGGCTGAAACGCAAATACCAAGTGATTGTGCATATTCTTCTTCTCGGTTCATGCTAGATCGACATTCTTGGTGATAATGTGCTGCCAGACATTCCGCTTCTGTACAACTTTGTCGAAGTTTCACATTATCTAAGAGAAGTTCAAGTAAGGGATGTTGTCTCTCTCGTAGTAATTCTCCACGAATATTTGCTATAGTACGATCTGTGGCATTCATTTTTTCTAATAATCGTTTCATTTCCCCACCTTGAGCGGCAGATTCTGCTTCCATTTGCTCAATCGCATGACGAAGACCTGCTACACCAACAGGGGTAACCTTTACCCCATCTGCTCCAGTATTACTGTTTCTTTTTCTAGTAGATAAAAATCGGGCTAATTTCCATTTATGTTGCCTTAATCGCATATCTAATTCACTATTAGATTGTTCTGCTTCTCGCATCTCTCGATATAATGTTTCCTTTGCAACAGAAAAAGTTTTTAATTTATTTTGTAGCTCTGTATACGCTTCAGAACCTTCAGCCATTACCGACATTCGAAAAGACACGCGATGTGATGGAGGAGCATGAGCAGGTGAAGCTTCTAATGAATCTGGACGTCCTTCCGTTTCAAACGTTAATGGACCTGCAGATAAAACTTGTACATCACCCCTTCTAGATGACAAGGGTGCTACAGATGGGGAATTTAAAGGTAATGGTTGGGAAAGCGTTGAAAATGGAGTTCTACCCATATTTGAAGTATAAGTACCTCCTTTTAAACGCAAAAGTTCATCTCGTGCTAATGCTAGTTCCATACGAAGATCCTCTATAAGTGCTTCTTGACTTTTTGCAACTTCTTTTGAATCTACTTTAAACTCATGACGTTTAGCTGCTACTTGAATTTCTTTAGCACGCATTGCAAAAAGCATTGTATTAACGGTTTCTTCATATTGTACACTACTAGGACTAACACAAAAGAGCATTAATGTTCGACAATTCCCACCTAAGCAGTCTCTTAAAAGTCTAGTTAATTTAGAACCACGGTAGGGAACATAAATTGCTCTTTTATGATGTTTCTTACGCTGCGCTAGCGCTTGTACAACAGCAGCTAATGCTAAAAGTGAACGATTAATGTTACCACCTTCACGCAGACGAATACCAGAATTACTTGTACCTGCCGCTCTTTCAGATCCTGCTAAATCACAAAAACGAATACGCCCAACGGTACCAAGTGTTGCATCTACTCTATCCTTTACTTCTACTTCCATTGTAAGAATAGCATGAGATCTACTTGATTGGGCGTTTGCGTTTGTAGCGGCCACAAAACGATTGGTATGACCCTGTTCCACACATTTGGCAAAATCTTCTGCGGTCTCGGGAGTGAAGTATGTGAGTCCCTTCACATTAAGACTCTCCGGGTTCACCCCAGCATTTCCGCCTTCTTCACCATTGTTGTTGTTCATGTCATCGTGACCAAGATCCTGCACCTTAAGCGCCTTCCGCTTCCCACGTGGGCTCGACGGAGCGAGTAAATCAAACACTTCCTCATTGTACACCTCTAGAAAAGTACAACGTACAGTGACGGTCTTGTCATCCTCCATCTCCAGCCGTTCCTTTGCCTCAAGAATATCCTGAACAGCTTGGTAGATAACTCCCGCTACACTCATACTACCCCCAAACATTGTGTGTGTTTTGCCAGAACCAGTAGCTCCATACGCAAGGATGGAACCGTTCATGCCATCAAAAACACCAGCCACAATACTTCGGCATGCTTCGTACACCTCAATCTGTGTACTGTGTGGATGAAAGACTTTATCCACCTTAAAGTGCTGCGGTCGTGGTTGCGCATTGCGGGCACCAAAGTAGCGTGATGAAGGTGATAATGCACCGTTAACAACGATACTGTCCTTAAGACAATTGACAACACTCTTCACAGAAGGATCAGCATGTTCCACCGTGGAGAGTGGACGCACACGTACAATTACACCAACTGTATTCTGCACATCACACTCCTGTATTTTATCTTCTTCACTCAGGGTAGCGATACCTTCCATAACAGTAGCAGTGGCAGTATCATCAGTCACTGCAACACCATCACCACCGTCACTATCTTTATCAGAAGTTGCGGTGGCCCTTGTTACCAAAACACTCCCCACAGACATTGATGATCTAATTGTACCCCCTATGTTAATGGAGCTACTGCTGATATAAACTATATAGATATATACCGCTTTTCTAGAAAAACTCACAGACGCAGAGGCCAACCAAACAAAGAAACTTTAAAGTGTAATATATTATCTATTAGATTTCTTTTTCTTTTTTTTTTAATTTAAATTTGTCGTACCTGCTCTTCCTTCTCGTATTCTTGAAAGCACGTTTTCAGAGCTCCTATATTATTTACTATAAAAAAAAAATAAAAGAAAGGGAGAAATAGAGACAAGAAACTAACTTGGTAGTACAGTGATATAACAGAAAAAAAAAAACGGCAAACATATATATATATATATATATATAGGGACACATGGTAAAATAAAAAAAAAAAAAAAAAACAGAAGGTCCAACATCACTCTGATGCCCAAGTATAAAGACAAGCCTCCAGGGACAAAACATTACTCCCATTCATACTCCTCTTGGTAGAGATTTTTACTCTGTTTTTTTTTTTTTCCTCTCATTTTGTTTGAAACCCTTTTTTTTTTTTTATACGTTTATCGTTTCCCCCTTGACTTGGTCACATTTTCACAACCTTCCTCTTCCTGCATAAGAGTAATACGCAAAATGGCATCTCGCAACTCTTTCTGTTGACGTCGCTGCTGCTCTTGGAGCGACAACGCGTTCTTAGCAAAATCAGAGTCACATGGAATTCTCAAAACTACGTTGTTGTCATTAGCATTGTTGTTGTTGTTGTTATTACCCTTACTACCCATTGCTTTGCCTGACGGGAAACTTGTACTTCCCGTCTTTCCGGTTGTAGACGTACCAGGCATGGGTCGCCGCAGAAGTGTGAACCGAATCTCCTGTTCCTCATTCGGTTTGGAAGTCGTTGTACTGGAGCGTTGCTGTTGTTGTTGTTGCTGACGATATAGGCGAATGCCCATGGCCAACTCCTGTTCAAGACGGTCCATGCCGCCAGCCTTCGAGTTAGCAAGTGCAGCGTGTGGCAAGGTTTCGTGGGGCTTCCTCGACATTAGCGCATTCAGTTCAGCGTCCAGTTCTGCTTCTTCAAGCCGCATTCGCAATGCCTCAGCCGCTGTGAAATTCTCATTTTCTTGTCCTATTTCTTCTTCTTCTTCATCATCATCTTCTTCTTCTTCCTCTTCCTCTTCTTCATCATCTTCTTCTTCGTATGTTACTTCGGTCCCAGATTTAGAGAATACGCTGGATGTATCATTAACAGTATAACTACCAACTTCAGTGCCACTCTCAGTCTCCTCATCGTCAATATCGTCCAAGTTACTTCCACTACTGTGACTACTCTCACCTTCACTACATGTGGTAACTGAAGAGTCACAAGAAGATGAAGATGAAGAGGAATAGCATGAGCTAGAGTCTTCTTCAGAATCACAGACAAGACTATTCTCATCTGCATCGCTGATATGGTCGACAGCAACTGTGTTAGATAGTACCGTTTCCTCCAGTAACACATCGGAGTCAACATGTTCGCCCCATGCTTCCGTTGTTTCTTTTCGTTCGATCTCACATCCAAGTGGTTTTTCATCCACACGAGAAGGAAATACTCGAAAAAGCGGTGCATCATCGCGACAGCTCGCCATAACGGCTTCACACACCTTCTCATACCACAAGTTATCAGGATGCACTGTCTCACTTTTGACCACCTCTATAAAGGCAGAGACTTCTTCTGCTGTTGCCAAACTTGGTAGCCCTGGTGTTGTCATAGCCTCTTGTAAGAGTTGAGCTCGCACCTTCTCATCATTAGACTTTTCTTTTTCCTCTTCTGTTGGTTTTTCTATATTCATTATGGGCATTTCCTTCAGTTCCTTAACATCACGACGCATGTGTTCATCAAAAAAACTTATGAGTTCCTCCAAACGTTGAAGCAGGTCTAGCGGGATAGGTTCTGTGAGGCTGTACCGATGTTGAAGGAGAAGTGCCACGAACTTTCGCACAAGCTGATGCACTGTAGCTAGACGTTCCCGCATACGAAAGATTCTTCGTTTTATTCTAGCCCGAGTTCCCTCAAGTGGGTCACGCCACCAAGGAAAAGACGGAGCGCACTCTGTAAGGAGAGTAACACAGCACCGCAAACGGATGTGATCATCTTTGGGAGGATCTTCAAAGGGATTATAAAGAAGAAGCATCGCCACCATGTAACCAATGAAACGAATAGTCAGTACACGTCCACGATAGAGATGAGCCAGGAATACACAATCAATAAAACGCCACTGCGGCACTCGGTATACAGCACGTACCGAATCCTTCTGAGAGACATGCCCTCCACCACCACCACCTCCTCCTCCATCACCTTCTCCTCTTATTTTTCCTGTTATTGTTCTTGAAAGTAAAGAGGCAGGGACCTCAATATCACGGCGAAAATCTTCTATAATCTCGTCAATAATGCACTGCATTGCGCTGGTGAGTCCTGCGTTGGAGAGATCAGCGACAAGTTCCGCCACAAGCGGCACTGCGTCCCACCGCACATTCTGTAGAGCCCGCAGTGCACGTAAAAGTCCTCGACAGGCGTCAACATCGGCCCATGGCATACGGAGAAACTGCGTCCGCACAAAGTCATATTTCTCTGATGAGAGTACCGACTGCAACAGATACCGTGCGTACTGTTCAAGTGTTGACGGTGTGCTTGTATTAACGCTATGGCGAGACCGTGGAGGTGGCGGTGGAGGTGTTAAAGCGTGAAAGGCCGATTTGATCATTTCACGTACGTCATCCTCAAGTAAAGCCACCGGCAACGCCTTCTTAAGTTTTTGAAACAGTCTATCAGTCTTGATGTGTGTTGGGTGATTACGAAGTAGGAACAATCCGCCGTGCTTCATGGCAGCAGTGAGAGTGACTGCACTGCAGGGATGAGTTAAATCATCCACCGCTGACACCATCATGTTTATCACCTGAGATGGTGGAATTACATCAAACTTCATCAACTCACACAAGTAACGCACAGTTACACCAATATGGCGAAGGGACTGCAAATGTATACTCTTTACCTGAGGTGAGGAGATTGGTAACCCTTCAAGAACAATATCAGATTCGCTAACTGTATATCGTTTGTAAACTCGCCTCCAGTGTGCTTCTAGGTTTTTACCAAGAAACTCTCCAATCTGAGGAAAATACTGGTACATTATAGCAGCACAACGCGCCATATATGGAAGCATCTCAGGATAGCGTGTACGAGGGTAATCTCGAAGTTCCAGTGATAACAACATTAAACAATTTGAAAAGAATAACAAAGCCCCAGCAGCTGATTCAGAGACGCAACGCAGCGGTCGAAGAGCTTCTTGAAGGAAAGAATCACACCAATCATCAATGGTAGTAGCACTATTACACTCTAACAGTTCTTCCAATAATTGTAATACGGTTGAATAATTATCAAATAATGATGCAGGGACAGCTAACGCCACCATACGAAGTCGACGACGCTTCATCATTGCGGCAGCTTCGCTAACAGATGGGAACCTACTCTCTTCTGAATTTTCTAGACTCGTATCAAGTTCGGTACTCTCTATTTCACACTCCTCACTTTCTACTACTACTACTCCTTTTCGTACTTCTTCCCCTGTTCCTGATCCTGCTAATAATAATGATGATGATGATGATGATGATGATGATTCTGTAACTACTGCCCCACTTATAGCTTGACGCCTTAAGAGTAAATCCCAATTCGCTTTTCCAGCCTCATATAACGGTTTTAAATCATTTAATACTACTTGTAAATCAGGCAAATATTCATAAAATATCCTTTTTTCATCATCTTCAAATCGATTATATGATTCTGCATTTTTTACAGTATGAAATACTTTTGCCACAGAAGTGATTTTAATCTCTCCAGTAATTTTGGGCTCTATAATAGACAAATCAATTGGATTTGGAGCCTTAAAACCTAACATTCCAAGTAGATTATCACACAATACATAAAACTCTTCAACATACTCCTGAAACAATCGAAAGCGTATATCCTCTGGAGTATTACGAGTACCCCTTCCATGTGACTCACTCATGGAATGCCACTTAGTCTCAAGTTTTTCTTTACGATCATTATATATTTTCAAACTTGTCCTTGCAGAGGATATCAATAATGACGCAAACTGTTGTCTTTCATCATGTTTACAGTAATAATCTTCAGGAAGTTTGTATGTTTCACAAAGTCTTGCCCAACTAAGCTCCTCCATCTGTTGAACTAAAGTGTCATCTATGTGAACTACAGATTTCGTTGTGGGATTAAAAGTTAGTCGAGACCCTACCGGTCCAAGTAGAAATACTGTAGCATCTGTAGTTTTACTCTGATCACTTACCATCTCTCCAGAGTAACTAGAAAGGTCATGAAGATGCCTTGTTAATTTTTCCTCTTTAAATTCTTTATTGAAATCCGAAGAAAATAATGTATTCTCCTTTCCAAGAAGTTCAATTCCAACCTTGCGCACGATAAGCAATATTATTGAGAGAATAGTTGAAGCAACCAAAGGAGTAGAAGATGATGAAGTATGTTTTTCCAAAAAAATATGCATCAACTTGAGAAGCTTTAGTAACGGTTTAGCCTCTTCAAGAAGTCCCACTAACCACCACTCAGAGAAAACTCTAGCCACTATGCGAAGTCGATTAAATTCTTCCATTGGAACCTTACTGATCGATCCAGAGTTCGAATTTGATGCAGTAGCACTAGTAGAGGGTGTTAAAGAAGTATATGATGTTACTACAGTTCCAGAAGCAAGAGTAGTATTTGTACTATTACTACTACTACTAGTAGTAGTAGTAATAGTAGCAGTGGTATTAATATTACTAGTAGCAGTCAATGGGACATTCCCGTCACCGCTCTCAGTTGGTCTTGTCAATTCTGCAGATTCATTTATGCGCTCGATTGCTGTCTTGACAAGATTCACGTCAACAATCTTCTCTGCACTCTCTTTCAGTCCTTTCTGAACTAGGGGCCAAAATCCCTCATAGCGCTGATGCACTTCTGAACATACAAGTACAAATGACGAAACGTCAGTTGACTTCATCTTTGTCCCATGGCAGAGCGATTGCACAACTCCCTCAGCCGCTTCGGAGAGAAACATACCAAAATTTAGGGTATCAAGTTGGGCTAATATTATCTTTTCTGAAGATTCTGCTGAATAATTTTTAAACCGTTTCGCCAGAGTAGTGGCCTTCTTTAAGTCAGACTTTAGAGTTGAAAGTTTGGCACGGAAAGCAGTGCGCAGCGGCGCAGGGTTTTTGTTGCGACTTCGCAACTCTGCTCTCTGAAGAATAAGGTCTACACTACTGAGAGTCATGTGCGTAAATGATAAAATCACCCCTAACACACTCTAAAAATATTATGCAAAATAAAATAAAAAATAGAAAGCAGAGAGATGTAAAGTGATTACACTATTACATAAAGAAAAAAAAAAAAAAAAAAAACAGTGAATGAGGGCAAACAAGAAATAAATAAACAAAGATAAATAAAATAAAATAATTATAATAATAATAATAAAAAAAAAAAACAGGGCGAAGAATAACAAAATCCTAAGCGAAATGAAAAAAAAAAAAAAAAAAACACATCAACTCCACTTTTCTTACTTGAGATCCTCTTTTTCTTTTTTGTTGTTTTTCTTCCAGGTTTCCTTCATGGTTTACAGCTTAAAAAGAATATTCCCCACTCGTCTTTTTTTTTTTTCTCTTTTGCACTATTCTGAACTACAACCCTCATTTCACTTTTTATCACTTGTTTTTTTTTTTTTTCTTGCATGTTTGTGCTACTTTATGTTTCTGTCTATACTCTGTATATGGAAAGAAGCAAAGGATTCCTTCTCACTACTATCTATGGGTAAATCTCTGTCGAGGAATCACAGCAGATATCAAGATTATCTTGCAATCATTGATGATCCCTCATTTTTCTTTTTTTTGTTGTTGTTGTTTTCTTCTTTTTTTTTCTTTTTTTTTTCTTTGGTTTTTCGACTACTCTTCTGTTGTCCCCACCTCCTTTAAAATTAAAAAAAGCCATTTTCTCCAGATTCTCTTACTGTGGTGGTGCCTTTTCGTAGAGAAGTCTCAACTGTTCCTTGGCGTACCCCATAACATCCGCCTCATCCACCTCTTCTTCTTCTTCTTCCTCGTTCACATCTTCTTCCTCGTCACTCTCGTTATTTCTGTCCACTCTCTTGCCGTCCAGTATCGTTTCCCGCAATCGCTGCTTCACAAGAGACCACGGCACATTTGCAATATCCTCCTGCGTCATGGATCCCACGAGTGTCTCCAACATGCGATCCACGCGCTGCTGCAGGAGCGGCGGCAATAAAAAGGCCTCACTCTCACCCACACTGCGCACCACCGAAAGTGTTGTTTCCCCACCCATTCCCGCCGGCATTCCTGTTTTCCCCGGAGAGGTCGCAGGGCCTGCAGTTGTGGTGGTTGTTGTTGTTGTTGTTATTGTGTTGGTGGCAGGCGGACGAAAAGGGACGTGTGCGGAGATGTGTATTTTATCATCCAAATAAATTGTCGTGAGGGCCTCCGCGGCGGTGGGTGAGGGCACAAAGAAGGTCGGCAGCAGCACACGGCCGGGATATCGCTTCAGCGCCTCCGCCCCAATTTGCCGCTGGCCCAAACACTCCTGCAATACACGACTGCCAAGATCACAGAGAATACGTATCGTGTGGCTATTTCGATCCAGTACATCATCCGATTGTTTAATGCGGCTAAATAATTCCACCAGAAAACTTGCACACTGTGTGCCATGTCGAAAAAGTTCATCAAAAAGAAGATGCCAAACACGTTGATAGGCAACAAAGTGATTCTCCTGTTCACTGTTGTAAAAAGTATGATGTGCCATAAAAAGCACTAAGAATGGTATAGTATATTCAAGAAAACAACTAAGCGCATTCGGGGATGATAGAGTTGCTCCCGATGTGACTTGTTTAGATCGGAGATGATCACCTACTTGTTGTACTAACATACGTAGTTGCTGATAACCACTCTTCGTTTCCTCAGCAATAACACTGAGAAGGAGAAATGCTACATACCGCATATCTGAATGATTCTGCAAAATATGAAATGTAAGTTTCTGCTGTACTGGACGTCTTACCATTACCTCATCCTCAGCAGAGAGAATCACCGCCACAGCAAGTTCTTTCCCAATATCAGATGATGGGCGAATAATAAGTTTTGATAACTGTTGGTTAATCGAGAGACGGCGACGGCAGGCACCAACTGTGTAGGCATCACGTTCACTCAACATCTTATACGCACCCAACAAAGTATTGAGTGTTGAGGTAATAATACTTGAAGCTCGATCATCTGTGTAACTTAGTGTAATAGCAGTCAAACACTTCGCCGCAGCATCTACAACGGTTGCTGCTAATGAAAAAGGGAGTAACTCTTTTCCCTTTGTCTTCACTTTTGCAGCATCTTGCGTTTCCGTATCATCTTGTATAGCAGTAAATAGGAGTTTCGTAATATTACTCAACAATAATTCCTCTTGCAAAAGTGGGGCCGCAGCACGATCCTTGGCGAATGCTGTTAATGATTTTAACCATCCAACCGTATCACAGAGTACTGGAGATGCTTTATTACCAATTCGATTACGCAGAGCTTCAATTAATTGACTTAATGCTTTGTGATCACGCAGACCATTCACTGTAAGAAGATTCATAAAACATCGAGCTGCCTGTTTACACACCGCCCCCACCATCTTTGGAGGTGTATGACGGAAAAGGAATTCATGATTACAAGTACAAAGTTTCCCCAACATGGTTAAGAGATTTTTCTTATGTGTGGCAATATCTGTAATAGCCGTCATATCTTGAACGGTGGGTTTCATATTTTGTTCTGTACGTTTACTTGCATAACTGGCCCATTCGGTAAGGCACTGTAAAAGAAGAAGTACCCATGAAGAAGGAATGTTTGGATTACTACTCTTACACAATACTTCCAGAAATTCCACCAGAGATAAAGCACATCGTGGTAGAAATGATGGTGCGGTTCGTCCAAATACGAGGAATGTACGCATTAAACCTTCTACTTCACATTGGACTTCACTATCTATACTTGTTGCTTGCTCATTATTATCACAGGCCCCACGAAGGGCTTCTCGCAGTCGTGTCATTAACTCTTCCAAGTGTTCCACTTCTAATGGAAGCATCATTTGCTTTGACAAGGAATCTTGCACAAACTTTAACACAGATCCATCCACACGACCTTTTAACGTCTTAATAAGAGATTCACGTTCAGTTGCATAACGAAGGAGTCCATCAGCACAACTGCTTAAAAATGCTTTGGAAACCCTATCATCTTTTGCACGAAATAAAATATCCCATTCTCCTCGTTCTGCATGCGTTATCGTTTGTAAAAAACTAAGAAGACGATGAATATTATTAATCATTTCTTGACCTTCTGAAGACTTTAGATCTTTATTACGTACTTCTGCACGTAATTGAAATAGACGTAAAATAGTTAATCGTAATTGTGATTTCTTCGCTGCAAATGTAAGTAATCTGTTAAAACTCCATGTATTTAAATGAGCACATAATTTAGCGAAACCATCCACATATGTACGTTCCTTTGTGGCACTTTCCTTTTCAAAATCAAATAATGCCATACTTGACCGTGCAGAACGTCTACCACCACCACCACCACTACTTAATCGAGAGGTGTTGGAATTATTTAATGATGTATCTGTTCCCATAATCTTATTAGGAGGAGGAAGTAACATTTCAAATGTCGACTCTAAAAGAGTCACACCACCCTCAGCATTAAGACATTGCATAATCGCTGTTGGAATCCATGGAAAAAGTTGTTTCTGATAAATACTACAAAGTTGCTCAACAGCAGTTTGACGAACTTTGAGGTTTTTATCCGCCACACGCAGTCCAAGTGTCTTTTCTACTCTTTCCGAAGTAATATAAGAAGATGCAGTCATCATAATATCACCATAGGCCATTACAGCCGCACGACGTACTAACGCATGTGGATCCAAAAGTCGTTGCTCCACATATGGCAATAAATCCCGAACTCGTTCTTCTGTGAGTGCAACGGAGATTTGTGTAGAGGCACGAATGGCACTGGCGGTTAATTGCAGCATCTCTATACGCAATGTATGTTTGGTGTCGTTAAAGCGTACGAGGAGTGCGAGAAAGGCGGAGCGATAGACAGTGACAGCAGACTCATGCGCCCCAAAGGCCATAAAGAAACCACGTAGTAACAGTAGACGGATATCAGACTTTTCGTGATCCAAGTATGGTGTTAACACTGGTATTAATTGACCAACGAGATCCACATGTAATTCCATCATGGCGACTAGAGATTCCATCGCTCGACCAACATCACGCAGTCCACGCCTTCTTGCCTCTATATCTTCTTCACTGGCAAGATCTGCTGCAGTCAACTCACCACAACCATGTTCCATCATATCAGCAATATAACTAGCGATAGCAGGTTGAATAACATCTATTTGTTCTAAAAGAACACGAGCGGCGATCATAGCCCCAGGTGATCGACCCTTCTTCCGTGCAGCATTAGCAATAGCACTATTGTTGTTATTGTTACCATTATCATTGGTATTGCTGTTGGTAGTATTTCCAACACCAGAGTTACGATTAACTCCTGTATGGCGTAGTAATATAGGGGAAGCGGCAGTAATCTCTTTTAAAAGTGGAGCTAGCTGTTCTGGTGTAATGGAGTTTGTCGCATTAAGAATATCAACAAGAACTCTTCCCATTTCTGCTGCTGTGATCGCAGTAATGGCTGTACTGTTATTGTTATTATTATTATTATCACTTACTGCTGTATCTGTTACTCCAGAATTTCCTCTAGCCTGTTGAACAGCTTTAAAAATAGCTGTAAGACGTCCTTGTACTGGTTGTCGACACTGTGGAATAATATATAGGAAGATATGTGAAATACTTGCTCGCTCAATAATGTGATCACATGTCTTTAACAGAGCCTCACCACGTGTTACTTGTTCAAAAGGAGAGGCAAGACACGTTAAAATATCATCCGCGTGTTTACTATCAAATGGCAGTGGATGTCTGCTATCTACAATTTCAGAAACATTACTTAACCGTACAATATCCGAAAGCAGACAACCTGTCATTTGTTGGACTCCAGTAAGACTACTCTTTAAATAACGGGGACTGAGCAATTCTTTTATAAAAGAAGAGTCTACTTCATATGGTGGATTAGCCGCTCGAAGTATGCGATGACACTCAAACAGCCATGAAAGCAATTGGGCATCCACTTTATTATGGAGAACTGTGCCTGAAAGAACATCATCACTGTTGAGATCTGTATTTTCTCCACGAGGCCGCTTTCTTATTAATGATGCCGAACCATCATTTGTTATCATCTCATGTGTAACATTACTTCGCTGTTGTCGCTTTGCCACGGAACGGATCCTGGATTCGGTTTCCATCGTGTTTATTTCTATGTATCTATATATATAAATATATAAATATATTTATGTATCTATATATCTCTCTTTCTTTCTGCGGATATATATATATATAT